AAAGCATGCTTGCGTCCGGAAGCATTCTTGCGCCCGGACGCATGCTTGCGTCGGAAGCATGCTTGCGTCCGGACGCATGCTTGCGCCCGAACGCATGCTTGCGCCCGGACGCATGCTTGCGTCTGGAAGCATGCTTGCGTCCGGAAGCATGCTTGCGCCCGAAAGCATGCTTGCGTCCGGAAGCATGCTTGCGTCCGGACGCATGCTTGTGTCCGGAAGCATGCTTGCGCCCGGAAGCATGCTTGCGTCCGAAAGCATGCTTGCGCCCGAAAGCATGCTTGCGTCCGGACGCATGCTTGCGTCCGGAAGCATGCTTGCGTCCGGAAGCATGCTTTCGTCCGGACGCATGCTTCCGTCCGAAAGCATGCTTGCGTCCGTAAGCATGCTTGCGTCCGAAAGCATGCTTGCGTCCAGAAGCATGCTTGCGTCCAGAAGCATGCTTGCACTCGGAAGCATGCTTGCGCCCGGACGCATGCTTGCGCCCGAAAGCATGCTTGCGTCCGGAAGCATGCTTGCGTCCGAAAGCATGCTTGCGTCCGTAAGCATGCTTGCGTCCGAAAGCATGCTTGCGTCCAGAAGCATGCTTGCGTCCAGAAGCATGCTTGCGCCCGGAAGCATGCTTGCGCCCGGACGCATGCTTGCGCCCGAAAGCATGCTTGCGCCCGGAAGCATGCTTGCGCCCGGACGCATGCTTGCGCTCGAAAGCATGCTTGCGTCCGGAAGCATTCTTGCGCCCGGACGCATGCTTGCGTCCGGAAGCATGCTTGCGTCTGGACGCATGCTTGCGCCCGAACGCATGCTTCCGCCCGGACGCATGCTTGCGTATGGAAGCATGCTTGCATACAGAAGCATGCTTGCGCCCGAAAGCATGCTTGCGTCCAGAAGCATGCTTGCGTCCGGAAGCATGCTTGCGCCCGGAAGCATGCTTGCGCCCGGACGCATGCTTGCGCCCGAAAGCATGCTTGCGTCCGGAAGCATTCTTGCGCCCGGACGCATGCTTGCGTCCGGAAGCATGCTTGCGTCCGGACGCATGCTTGCGCCCGAACGCATGCTTGCGCCCGGACGCATGCTTGCGTCTGGAAGCATGCTTGCGTCCGGAAGCATGCTTGCGCCCGAAAGCATGCTTGCGTCCGGAAGCATGCTTGCGTCCAGACGCATGCTTGTGTCCTAAAGCATGCTTGCGCCCGGAAGCATGCTTGCGTCCGAAAGCATGCTTGCGCTCGAAAGCATGCTTGCGTCCGGACGCATGCTTGCGTCCGGAAGCATGCTTGCGTCCGGAAGCATGCTTTCGTCCGGACGCATGCTTGCGTCCGAAAGCATGCTTGCGTCCGTAAGCATGCTTGCGTCCGAAAGCATGCTTGCGCCCAGAAGCATGCTTGCGTCCAGAAGCATGCTTGCGCCCGGAAGCATGCTTGCGCCCGGACGCATGCTTGCGCCCGAAAGCATGCTTGCGTCCGGAAGCATGCTTGCGTCCGAAAGCATGCTTGCGTCCGTAAGCATGCTTGTGTCCGAAAGCATGCTTGCGTCCAGAAGCATGCTTGCGTCCAGAAGCATGCTTGCGCCCGGAAGCATGCTTGCGCCCGGACGCATGCTTGCGCCCGAAAGCATGCTTGCGCCCGGAAGCATGCTTGCGCCCGGACGCATGCTTGCGCTCGAAAGCATGCTTGCGTCCGGAAGCATTCTTGCGCCCGGACGCATGCTTGCGTCCGGAAGCATGCTTGCGTCTGGACGCATGCTTGCGCCCGAACGCATGCTTGCGCCCGGACGCATGCTTGCGTATGGAAGCATGCTTGCATACAGAAGCATGCTTGCGCCCGAAAGCATGCTTGCGTCTGGAAGCATGCTTGCGTCCGGACGCATGCTTGCGTCCGAAAGCATGCTTGCGTCCGAAAGCATGCTTGCGCCCGAAAGCATGCTTGCGTCCGGAAGCATGCTTGCGTCCGGACGCATGCTTGTGTCCTAAAGCATGCTTGCGCCCGGAAGCATGCTTGCGTCTGAAAGCGTGCTTGCGCCCGAAAGCATGCTTGCGTCCGGACGCATGCTTGCGTCCGGAAGCATGCTTGCGTCCGGAAGTATGCTTTCGTCCAGACGCATGCTTGCGTCCGAAAGCATGCTTGCGTCCGTACGCATGCTTGCGTCCGAAAGCATGCTTGCGTCCAGAAGCATGCTTGCGTCCGGAAGCATGCTTGCGCCCGGACGCATGCTTGCGTCCGGAAGCATGCTTGCATCCGGACCCATGCTTGCGCCCGGAAGCATGCTTGCGTCCGAAAGCATGCTCACTTCCGGAAGCATGCTTGCGCCCATAAGCATGCTTGCGCCCGGACGCATGCTTGCGCCCGGAAGCATGCTTGCGTCTGAAAGCATGCTCACTGCCGGAAGCATGCTTGCGTCCGGACGCATGCTTGCGCCCGGAAGCATGCTTGCGCCCGGACGCATGCTTGCGCCCGTAAGCATGCTTGCGCCCGAAAGCATGCTTGCGCCCGAAAGCATGCTTGCGTCCGGAAGCATGCTTGCATCCGAAAGCATGCTTGCGCCCGAAAGCATGCTTGGGTCCGAAAGCATGCTTGCGTCCGGAAGCATGCTTGCATCCGAAAGCATGCTTGCGTTCGAAAGCATGCTTGCGCCCGGAAGCATGCTTGCGTCCGGAAGCATGCTTGCGCCCTAAAGCATGCTTGCGCCCGGAAGCATGCTTGCGTCCGAAAGCATGCTTGCGCCCGAAAGCATGCTTGCGTCCGGACGCATGCTTGCGTCCGGAAGCATGCTTGCGTCCGGAAGCATGCTTTCGTCCGGACGCATGCTTGCGTCCGAAAGCATGCTTGCGTCCGTAAGCATGCTTGCGTCCGAAAGCATGCTTGCGTCCAGAAGCATGCTTGCGTCCGGAAGCATGCTTGCGTCCGAAAGCATGCTTGCGTCCGAAAGCATGCTTGCGTCCGAAAGCATGCTTGCGTCCGTAAGCATGCTTGCGTCCAAAAGCATGCTTGCGTCCAGAAGCATGCTTGCGTCCAGAAGCATGCTTGCGCCCGGAAGCATGCTTGCGCCCGGACGCATGCTTGCACCCGAAAGCATGCTTGCGCCCGGAAGCATGCTTGCACCCGGACGCATGCTTGCGTCCGTAAGCATGCTTGCGTCCGAAAGCATGCTTGCGTCCAGAAGCATGCTTGCGTCCAGAAGCATGCTTGCGCCCGGAAGCATGCTTGCGCCCGGACGCATGCTTGCGCCCGAAAGCATGCTTGCGCCCGGAAGCATGCTTGCGCCCGGACGCATGCTTGCGCCCGAAAGCATGCTTGCGTCCGGAAGCATTCTTGCGCCCGGACGCATGCTTGCGTCCGGAAGCATGCTTGCGTCCGGACGCATGCTTGCGCCCGAACGCATTCTTGCGCCCGGACGCATGCTTGTGTCTTGAAGCATGCTTGCGTCCGGAAGCATGCTTGCGCCCGAAAGCATGCTTGCGTCCGGAAGCATGCTTGCGTCCGGACGCATGCTTGCGTCCGAAAGCATGCTTGCGTCCGAAAGCAAGCTTGCGCCCGAAACCATGCTTGCGTCCGGAAGCATGCTTGCGTCCGGACGCATGCTTGTGTCCTAAAGCATGCTTGCGCCCGGAAGCATGCTTGCGTCCGAAAGCATGCTTGCGCCCGAAAGCATGCTTGCGCCCAAAAGCATGCTTGCGTCCGAAAGCATGCTTGCGTCCGTAAGCATGCTTGCGTCCGAAAGCATGCTTGCGTCCAGAAGCATGCTTGCGTCCGGAAGCATGCTTGCGCCCGGACGCATTCTTGCGCCCGAAAGCATGCTTGCGTCCGGAAGCATTCTTGCGCCCGGACGCATGCTTGCGTCGGAAGCATGCTTGCGTCCGGACGCATGCTTGCGCCCGAACGCATGCTTGCGTCCGGACGCATGCTTGCGTCTGGAAGCATGCTTGCGTCCGGAAGCATGCTTGCGCCCGAAAGCATGCTTGCGTCCGGAAGCATGCTTGCGTCCGGACGCATGCTTGTGTCCTAAAGCATGCTTGCGCCCGGAAGCATGCTTGCGTCCGAAAGCATGCTTGCGCCCGAAAGCATGCTTGCGTCCGAAAGCATGCTTGCGTCCAGAAGCATGCTTGCGTCCAGAAGCATGCTTGCACTCGGAAGCATGCTTGCGCCCGGACGCATGCTTGCGCCCGAAAGCATGCTTGCGTCCGGAAGCATGCTTGCGTCCGAAAGCATGCTTGCGTCCGGATGCATGCTTGCGTCCGAAAGCATGCTTGCGTCCGTAAGCATGCTTGCGTCCGAAAGCATGCTTGCGTCCAGAAGCATGCTTGCGTCCAGAAGCATGCTTGCACTCGGAAGCATGCTTGCGCCCGGACGCATGCTTGCGCCCGAAAGCATGCTTGCGTCCGGAAGCATGCTTGCGTCCGAAAGCATGCTTGCGTCCGTAAGCATGCTTGCGTCCGAAAGCATGCTTGCGTCCAGAAGCATGCTTGCGTCCAGAAGCATGCTTGCGCCCGGAAGCATGCTTGCGCCCGGACGCATGCTTGCGCCCGAAAGCATGCTTGCGCCCGAAAGCATGCTTGCGCCCGGACGCAAGCTTGCGCCCGAAAGCATGCTTGCGTCCGGAAGCATTCTTGCGCCCGGACGCATGCTTGCGTCCGGAAGCATGCTTGCGTCCGGACGCATGCTTGCGCTCGAACGCATGCTTGCACCCGGACGCATGCTTGCGTCTGGAAGCATGCTTGCGTCCGGAAGCATGCTTGCGCCCGAAAGCATGCTTGCGTCCGGAAGCATGCTTGCGTCCGGACGCATGCTTGTGTCCTAAAGCATGCTTGCGCCCGGAAGCATGCTTGCGTCCGAAAGCATGCTTGCGCCCGAAAGCATGCTTGCGCCCGAAAGCATGCTTGCGTCCGAAAGCATGCTTGCGTCCGTAAGCATGCTTGCGTCCGAAAGCATGCTTGCGTCCAGAAGCATGCTTGCGTCCGGAAGCATGCTTGCGTCCGAAAGCATGCTTGCGCCCAGAAGCATGCTTGCGCCCTAAAGCATGCTTGCGCCCGGAAGCATGCTTGCGTTCGAAAGCATGCTTGCGCCCGGAAGCATGCTTGCGTCCGTAAACATGCTTGCGCCCGAAAGCATGCTTGCGCCCGAAAGCATGCTTGCGTCCGTAAGCATGCTTGCGTCCGAAAGCATGCTTGCGTCCAGAAGCATGCTTGCGTCCGGAAGCATGCTTGCGTCCGAAAGCATGCTTGCGCCCAGAAGCATGCTTTCGTCCGGACGCATGCTTGCGTCCGAAAGCATGCTTGCGTCCGTAAGCATGCTTGCGTCCGAAAGCATGCTTGCGTCCAGAAGCATGCTTGCGTCCAGAAGCATGCTTGCGCCCGGAAGCATGCTTGCGCCCGGACGCATGCTTGCGCCCGAAAGCATGCTTGCGTCCGGAAGCATGCTTGCGTCCGAAAGCATGCTTGCGTCCGTAAGCATGCTTGCGTCCAAAAGCATGCTTGCGTCCAGAAGCATGCTTGCGTCCAGAAGCATGCTTGCGCCCGGAAGCATGCTTGCGCCCGGACGCATGCTTGCGCCCGAAAGCATGCTTGCGCCCGGAAGCATGCTTGCGCCCGGACGCATGCTTGCGTCCGTAAGCATGCTTGCGTCCGAAAGCATGCTTGCGTCCAGAAGCATGCTTGCGTCCAGAAGCATGCTTGCGCCCGGAAGCATGCTTGCGCCCGGACGCATGCTTGCGCCCGAAAGCATGCTTGCGCCCGGAAGCATGCTTGCGCCCGGACGCATGCTTGCGCCTGAAAGCATGCTTGCGTCCGGAAGCATTCTTGCGCCCGGACGCATGCTTGCGTCCGGAAGCATGCTTGCGTCCGGACGCATGCTTGCGCCCGAACGCATGCTTGCGCCCGGACGCATGCTTGCGTCTGGAAGCATGCTTGCGTCCGGAAGCATGCTTGCGCCCGAAAGCATGCTTGCGTCCGGAAGCATGCTTGCGTCCGGAAGCATGCTTGCGTCCGAAAGCATGCTTGCGCCCGGAAGCATGCTTGCGCCCGGACGCATGCTTGCGCCCGAAAGCATGCTTGCGTCCGGAAGCATGCTTGCGTCCGAAAGCATGCTTGCGTCCGTAAGCATGCTTGCGTCCAAAAGCATGCTTGCGTCCAGAAGCATGCTTGCGTCCAGAAGCATGCTTGCGCCCGGAAGCATGCTTGCGCCCGGACGCATGCTTGCGCCCGAAAGCATGCTTGCGCCCGGAAGCATGCTTGCGCCCGGACGCATGCTTGCGTCCGTAAGCATGCTTGCGTCCGAAAGCATGCTTGCGTCCAGAAGCATGCTTGCGTCCAGAAGCATGCTTGCGCCCGGAAGCATGCTTGCGCCCGGACGCATGCTTGCGCCCGAAAGCATGCTTGCGCCCGAAAGCATGCTTGCGTCCGGACGCATGCTTGCGCCCGAAAGCATGCTTGCGTCCGGAAGCATTCTTGCGCCCGGACGCATGCTTGCGTCCGGAAGCATGCTTGCGTCCGGACGCATGCTTGCGCCCGAACGCATGCTTGCGCCCGGACGCATGCTTGCGTCTGGAAGCATGCTTGCATCCAGAAGCATGCTTGCGCCCGAAAGCATGCTTGCGTCCGGAAGCATGCTTGCGTCCGGACGCATGCTTGCGTCCGAAAGCATGCTTGCGTCCGAAAGCATGCTTGCGCCCGAAAGCATGCTTGCGTCCGGAAGCATGCTTGCGTCCGGACGCATGCTTGTGTCCTAAAGCATGCTTGCGCCCGGAAGCATGCTTGCGTCCGAAAGCATGCTTGCGCCCGAAAGCATGCTTGCGTCCGGACGCATGCTTGCGTCCGGAAGCATGCTTGGGTCCTGAAGCATGCTTTCGTCCAGACGCATGCTTGCGTCCGAAAGCATGCTTGCGTCCGTAAGCATGCTTGCGTCCGAAAGCATGCTTGCGTCCAGAAGCATGCTTGCGTCCGGAAGCATGCTTGCGCCCGGACGCATGCTTGCGTCCGGAAGCATGCTTGCGTCCGGACCCATGCTTGCGCCCGGAAGCATGCTTGCGTCCGAAAGCATGCTCACTTCCGGAAGCATGCTTGCGCCCCTAAGCATGCTTGCGCCCGGACGCATGCTTGCGCCCGGAAGCATGCTTGCGTCTGAAAGCATGCTCACTGCCGGAAGCATGCTTGCGTCCGGACGCATGCTTGCGCCCGGAAGCATGCTTGCGCCCGGACGCATGCTTGCGCCCGTAAGCATGCTTGCGCCCGAAAGCATGCTTGCGCCCGAAAGCATGCTTGCGTCCGGAAGCATGCTTGCATCCGAAAGCATGCTTGCGCCCGAAAGCATGCTTGGGTCCGAAAGCATGCTTGCGTCCGGAAACATGCTTGCATCCGAAAGCATGCTTGCGTCCGAAAGCATGCTTGCGCCCGGAAGCATGCTTGCGCCCGGAAGCATGCTTGCGCCCGAAAGCATGCTTGCGTCCGGAAGCATGCTTGCGTCCAGAAGCATGCTTGCGTCCAAAAGCATGCTTGCGCCCGGAAGCATGCTTGCGCCCGGACGCATGCTTGCGCCCGAAAGCATGCTTGCGTCCGGAAGCATGCTTGCGTCCGAAAGCATGCTTGCGTCCGTAAGCATGCTTGCGTCCAAAAGCATGCTTGCGTCCAGAAGCATGCTTGCGTCCAGAAGCATGCTTGCGCCCGGAAGCATGCTTGCGCCCGGACGCATGCTTGCGCCCGGACGCATGCTTGCGTCCGTAAGCATGCTTGCGTCCGAAAGCATGCTTGCGTCCAGAAGCATGCTTGCGTCCGAAAGCATGCTTGCGTCCGAAAGCATGCTTGCGCCCGAAAGCATGCTTGCGCCCGAAAGCATGCTTGCGTCCGAAAGCATGCTTGCGTCCGTAAGCATGCTTGCGTCCGAAAGCATGCTTGCGTCGAGAAGCATGCTTGCGTCCGGAAGCATGCTTGCGTCCGAAAGCATGCTTGCGCCCAGAAGCATGCTTGCGCCCTAAAGCATGCTTGCGCCCGGAAGCATGCTTGCGTTCGAAAGCATGCTTGCGCCCGGAAGCATGCTTGCGTCCGTAAACATGCTTGCGTCCGAAAGCATGCTTGCGTCCGTAAGCATGCTTGCGTCCGAAAGCATGCTTGCGTCCAGAAGCATGCTTGCGTCCGGAAGCATGCTTGCGTCCGGAAGCATGCTTGCGTCCGAAAGCATGCTTGCGCCCAGAAGCATGCTTGCGCCCTAAAGCATGCTTGCGCCCGGAAGCATGCTTGCGTCCGAAAGCATGCTTGCGCCCGAAAGCATGCTTGCGTCCGGACGCATGCTTGCGTCCGGAAGCATGCTTGCGTCCGGAAGCATGCTTTCCTCCGGACGCATGCTTGCGTCCAGAAGCATGCTTGCGTCCAGAAGCATGCTTGCGCCCGGAAGCATGCTTGCGCCCGGACGCATGCTTGCGCCCGAAAGCATGCTTGCGTCCGGAAGCATGCTTGCGTCCGAAAGCATGCTTGCGTCCGTAAGCATGCTTGCGTCCAAAAGCATGCTTGCGTCCAGAAGCATGCTTGCGTCCAGAAGCATGCTTGCGCCCGGAAGCATGCTTGCGCCCGGACGCATGCTTGCGCCCGAAAGCATGCTTGCGCCCGGAAGCATGCTTTCGTCCAGACGCATGCTTGCGTCCGAAAGCATGCTTGCGTCCGGAAGCATGCTTTCGTCCAGACGCATGCTTGCGTCCGGAAGCATGCTTGCGTCCAGACGCATGCTTGCGTCCGAAAGCATGCTTGCGTCCGTAAGCATGCTTGCGTCCGAAAGCATGCTTGCGTCCAGAAGCATGCTTGCGTCCGGAAGCATGCTTGCGCCCGGACGCATGCTTGCGTCCGGAAGCATGCTTGCGTCCGGACCCATGCTTGCGCCCGGAAGCATGCTTGCGTCCGAAAGCATGCTCACTTCCGGAAGCATGCTTGCGCCCCTAAGCATGCTTGCGCCCGGACGCATGCTTGCGCCCGGAAGCATGCTTGCATCTGAAAGCATGCTCACTGCCGGAAGCATGCTTGCGTCCGGACGCATGCTTGCGCCCGGAAGCATGCTTGCGCCCGGACGCATGCTTGCGCCCGTAAGCATGCTTGCGCCCGAAAGCATGCTTGCGCCCGAAAGCATGCTTGCGTCCGGAAGCATGCTTGCATCCGAAAGCATGCTTGCGCCCGAAAGCATGCTTGGGTCCGAAAGCATGCTTGCGTCCGGAAACATGCTTGCATCCGAAATCATGCTTGCGTCCGAAAGCATGCTTGCGCCCGGAAGCATGCTTGCGCCCGGAAGCATGCTTGCGCCCGAAAGCATGCTTGCGTCCGGAAGCATGCTTGCGTCCAGAAGCATGCTTGCGTCCAGAAGCATGCTTGCGCCCGGAAGCATGCTTGCGCCCGGACGCATGCTTGCGCCCGAAAGCATGCTTGCGTCCGGAAGCATGCTTGCGTCCGAAAGCATGCTTGCGTCCGTAAGCATGCTTGCGTCCAAAAGCATGCTTGCGTCCAGAAGCATGCTTGCGTCCAGAAGCATGCTTGCGCCCGGAAGCATGCTTGCGCCCGGACGCGTGCTTGCGCCCGAAAGCATGCTTGCGCCCGGAAGCATGCTTGCGCCCGGACGCATGCTTGCGTCCGTAAGCATGCTTGCGTCCGAAAGCATGCTTGCGTCCAGAAGCATGCTTGTGTCCAGAAGCATGCTTGCGCCCGGAAGCATGCTTGCGTCCGGAAGCATGCTTGCGTCCGAAAGCATGCTTGCGTCCGTAAGCATGCTTGCGTCCGAAAGCATGCTTGCGTCCAGAAGCATGCTTGCGTCCAGAAGCATGCTTGCGCCCGGAAGCATGCTTGCGCCCGGACGCATGCTTGCGTCCGAAAGCATGCTTGCGTCCGTAAGCATGCTTGCGTCCAAAAGCATGCTTGCGTCCAGAAGCATGCTTGCGTCCAGAAGCATGCTTGCGCCCGGAAGCATGCTTGCGCCCGGACGCATGCTTGCGCCCGAAAGCATGCTTGCGCCCGGAAGCATGCTTGCGCCCGGACGCATGCTTGCGTCCGTAAGCATGCTTGCGTCCGAAAGCATGCTTGCGTCCAGAAGCATGCTTGCATCCAGAAGCATGCTTGCGCCCGGAAGCATGCTTGCGCCCGGACGCATGCTTGCGCCCGAAAGCATGCTCGCGCCTGGAAGCATGCTTGCGCCCGGACGCATGCTTGCGCCCGAAAGTATGCTTGCGTCCGGAAGCATTCTTGCGCCCGGACGCATGCTTGCGTCCGGAAGCATGCTTGCGTCCGGACGCATGCTTGCGCCCGAACGCATGCTTGCGCCCGGACGCATGCTTGCGTCTGGAAGCATGCTTGCGTCCGGAAGCATGCTTGCGCCCGAAAGCATGCTTGCGTCCGGAAGCATGCTTGCGTCCGGAAGCATGCTTGCGTCCGAAAGCATGCTTGCGCCCGGAAGCATGCTTGCGCCCGGACGCATGCTTGCGCCCGAAAGCATGCTTGCGTCCGGAAGCATGCTTGCGTCCGGAAGCATGCTTGCATCCGGAAGCATGCTTGCGTCCGAAAGCATGCTTGCGCCCAGAAGCATGCTTGCGCCCTAAAGCATGCTTGCGCCCGGAAGCATGCTTGCGTCCGAAAGCATGCTTGCGCCCGAAAGCATGCTTGCGTCCGGACGCATGCTTGCGTCCGGAAGCATGCTTGCGTCCGGAAGCATGCTTTCCTCCGGACGCATGCTTGCGTCCGAAAGCATGCTTGCGTCCGTAAGCATGCTTGCGTACGAAAGCATGCTTGCGTCCAGAAGCATGCTTGCGTCCAGAAGCATGCTTGCGCCCGGAAGCATGCTTGCGCCCGGACGCATGCTTGCGCCCGAAAGCATGCTTGCGTCCGGAAGCATGCTTGCGTCCGAAAGCATGCTTGCGTCCGTAAGCATGCTTGCGTCCAAAAGCATGCTTGCGTCCAGAAGCATGCTTGCGTCCAGAAGCATGCTTGCGCCCGGAAGCATGCTTGCGCCCGGACGCATGCTTGCGCCCGAAAGCATGCTTGCGCCCGGAAGCATGCTTGCGCCCGGACGCATGCTTGCGTCCGAAAGCATGCTTGCGTCCAGAAGCATGCTTGCGTCCAGAAGCATGCTTGCGCCCGGAAGCATGCTTGCGCCCGGACGCATGCTTGCGCCCGAAAGCATGCTTGCGCCCGAAAGCATGCTTGCGTCCGGACGCATGCTTGCGCCCGAAAGCATGCTTGCGTCCGGAAGCATTCTTGCGCCCGGACGCATGCTTGCGTCCGGAAGCATGCTTGCGTCCGGACGCATGCTTGCGCCCGAACGCATGCTTGCGCCCGGACGCATGCTTGCGTCTGGAAGCATGCTTGCATCCAGAAGCATGCTTGCGCCCGAAAGCATGCTTGCGTCCGGAAGCATGCTTGCGTCCGGACGCATGCTTGCGTCCGAAAGCATGCTTGCGTCCGAAAGCATGCTTGCGCCCGAAAGCATGCTTGCGTCCGGAAGCATGCTTGCGTCCGGACGCATGCTTGTGTCCTAAAGCATGCTTGCGCCCGGAAGCATGCTTGCGTCCGAAAGCATGCTTGCGCCCGAAAGCATGCTTGCGTCCGGACGCATGCTTGCGTCCGGAAGCATGCTTGGGTCCGGAAGCATGCTTTCGTCCAGACGCATGCTTGCGTCCGAAAGCATGCTTGCATCCGTAAGCATGCTTGCGTCCGAAAGCATGCTTGCGTCCAGAAGCATGCTTGCGTCCGGAAGCATGCTTGCGCCCGGACGCATGCTTGCGTCCGGAAGCATGCTTGCGTCCGGACCCATGCTTGCGCCCGGAAGCATGCTTGCGTCCGAAAGCATGCTCACTTCCGGAAGCATGCTTGCGCCCGTAAGCATGCTTGCGCCCAGACGCATGCTTGCGCCCGGAAGCATGCTTGCGTCTGAAAGCATGCTCACTGCCGGAAGCATGCTTGCGTCCGGACGCATGCTTGCGCCCGGAAGCATGCTTGCGCCCGGACGCATGCTTGCGCCCGTAAGCATGCTTGCGCCCGAAAGCATGCTTGCGCCCGAAAGCATGCTTGCGTCCGGAAGCATGCTTGCATCCGAAAGCATGCTTGCGCCCGAAAGCATGCTTGGGTCCGAAAGCATGCTTGAGTCCGGAAGCATGCTTGCATCCGAAAGCATGCTTGCGTCCGAAAGCATGCTTGCGCCCGGAAGCATGCTTGCGTCCGGAAGCATGCTTGCGCCCGAAAGCATGCTTGCGTCCGGAAGCATGCTTGCGCCCGGAAGCATGCTTGCGCCCGGAAGCATGCTTGCGTCCGGAAGCATGCTTGCGCCCGGACACATGCTTGCGCCCGGAAACATGCTTGCGCCGGAAAGCATGCTTGCGGCCGGAAGCATGCTTGCGTCCGGAAGCATGCTTGCGTCCGAAAGCATGCTTGCGCCCGAAAGCATGCTTGCGTCCGGAAGCATGCTTGCGTCCGAAAGCATGCTTGCGCCCGAAAGCATGCTTGCGTCCGGAAGCATGCTTGCGCCCGAACGCATGCTTGCGCCCGGACGCATGCTTGCGTCCGGAAGCATGCTTGCGTCCGGAAGCATGCTTGCGCCCGAAAGCATGCTTGCGTCCGGAAGCATGCTTGCGTCCGGACGCATGCTTGCGTCCGAAAGCATGCTTGCGTCCGAAAGCATGCTTGCGCCCGAAAGCATGCTTGCGTCCGGAAGCATGCTTGCGTCCGGAAGCATGCTTGCGTCCGAAAGCATGCTTGCGCCCGAAAGCATGCTTGCGTCCGGAAGCATGCTTTCGTCCGGATGCATGCTTGCGTCTGAGAGCATGCTTGCGTCCGGAAGCATGCTTGCGTCCGAAAGCATGCTTGCGTCCGGAAGCATGCTTGCGTCCGGAAGCATGCTTGCGTCCGGACCCATGCTTGCGCCCGGAAGCATGCTTGCGCCCGGAAGCATGCTTGCGTCCGGAAGCATGCTTGCGTCCGGAAGCATGCTTGCGTCCAGAAGCATGCTTGCGTCCGGAAGCATGCTTGCGCCCGGAAGCATGCTTGCGCCCGGAAGCATGCTTGCGTCCGGAAGCATGCTTGCGTCCGGAAGCATGCTTGCGTCCAGAAGCATGCTTGCGTCCGGAAGCATGCTTGCGTCCGGACGCATGCTTGCGTCCGGAAGCATGCTTGCGCCTGAAAGCATGCTTGCGTCCGGAAGCATGCTTGCGTCCGGAAGCATGCTTGCGTCCGAAAGCATGCTTGCGTCCGGAAGCATGCTTGCGCCCGAAAGCATGCTTGCGTTCGGAAGCATGCTTGCGCCCGGACGCATGCTTGCGTCCGGAAGCATGCTTGCGCCCGGAAGCATGCTTGCGCCCGGAAGCATGCTTGCGCCCGGAAGCATGCTTGCGTCCGGAAGCATGCTTGCGTCCGGAAGCATGCTTGCGTCCAGAAGCATGCTTGCGTCCGGAAGCATGCTTGCGCCCGGAAGCATGCTTGCGCCCGGAAGCATGCTTGCGTCCGGAAGCATGCTTGCGCCCGGACACATGCTTGCGCCCGGAAGCATGCTTGCGCCGGAAAGCATGCTTGCGGCCGGAAGCATGCTTGCGTCCGGAAGCATGCTTGCGTCTGAAAGCATGCTTGCGCCCGAAAGCATGCTTGCGTCCGGAAGCATGCTTGCGTCCGAAAGCATGCTTGCGCCCGAAAGCATGCTTGCGTCCGGAAGCATGCTTGCGCCCGAACGCATGCTTGCGCCCGGACGCATGCTTGCGTCCGGAAGCATGCTTGCGTCCGGAAGCATGCTTGCGCCCGAAAGCATGCTTGCGTCCGGAAGCATGCTTGCGTCCGGACGCATGCTTGCGTCCGAAAGCATGCTTGCGTCCGAAAGCATGCTTGCGTCCGGAAGCATGCTTGCGTCCGAAAGAATGCTTGCGTCCGGAAGCATGCTTGCGCCCGAAAGCATGCTTGCGTCCGGAAGCATGCTTGCGCCCGGACGCATGCTTGCGTCCGGAAGCATGCTTGCGCCCGAAAGCATGCTTGCGTCCGGAAGCATGCTTGCGTCCGGAAGCATGCTTGCGTCCGAAAGCATGCTTGCGTCCGGAAGCATGCTTGCGCCCGAAAGCATGCTTGCGTTCGGAAGCATGCTTGCGCCCGGACGCATGCTTGCGTCCGGAAGCATGCTTGCGCCCGGAAGCATGCTTGCGCCCGGAAGCATGCTTGCGCCCGGAAGCATGCTTGCGTCCGGAAGCATGCTTGCGTCCGGAAGCATGCTTGCGTCCAGAAGCATGCTTGCGTCCGGAAGCATGCTTGCGCCCGGAAGCATGCTTGCGCCCGGAAGCATGCTTGCGTCCGGAAGCATGCTTGCGCCCGGACACATGCTTGCGCCCGGAAGCATGCTTGCGCCGGAAAGCATGCTTGCGGCCGGAAGCATGCTTGCGTCCGGAAGCATGCTTGCGTCTGAAAGCATGCTTGCGCCCGAAAGCATGCTTGCGTCCGGAAGCATGCTTGCGTCCGAAAGCATGCTTGCGCCCGAAAGCATGCTTGCGTCCGGAAGCATGCTTGCGCCCGAACGCATGCTTGCGCCCGGACGCATGCTTGCGTCCGGAAGCATGCTTGCGTCCGGAAGCATGCTTGCGCCCGAAAGCATGCTTGCGTCCGGAAGCATGCTTGCGTCCGGACGCATGCTTGCGTCCGAAAGCATGCTTGCGTCCGAAAGCATGCTTGCGCCCGAAAGCATGCTTGCGTCCGTAAGCATGCTTGCGTCCGGAAGCATGCTTGCGTCCTAAAGCATGCTTGCGCCCGGAAGCATGCTTGCGTCCGAAAGCATGCTTGCGCCCGAAAGCATGCTTGCGTCCGGAAGCATGCTTTCGTCCGGACGCATGCTTGCGTCGGAGAGCATGCTTGCGTCCGGAAGCATGCTTGCGTCCGAAAGCATGCTTGCGTCCGGAAGCATGCTTGCGTCCGGAAGCATGCTTGCGTCCGGAAGCATGCTTGCGTCCGGAAGCATGCTTGCGTCCGGACCCATGCTTGCGCCCGGAAGCATGCTTGCGTCCGAAAGCATGCTCACTGCCGGAAGGATGCTTGCGTCCGGAAGCATGCTTGCGCCCGGAAGCATGCTTGCGCCCGGAAGCATGCTTGCGTCCGGAAGCATGCTTGCGTCCGGAAGCATGCTTGCGTCCAGAAGCATGCTTGCGTCCGGAAGCATGCTTGCGTCCGGACGCATGCTTGCGTCCGGAAGCATGCTTGCGCCCGAAAGCATGCTTGCGTCCGGAAGCATGCTTGCGTCCGGAAGCATGCTTGCGTCCGAAAGCATGCTTGCGTCCGGAAGCATGCTTGCGCCCGAAAGCATGCTTTCGTCCGGAAGCATGCTTGCGCCCGGACGCATGCTTGCGTCCGGAAGCATGCTTGCGTCCGGAAGCATGCTTGCGTCCGAAAGCATGCTTGCGTCCGGAAGCATGCTTGCGCCCGAAAGCATGCTTGCGTCCGGAAGCATGCTTGCGCCCGGACGCATGCTTGCGTCCGAAAGCATGCTTGCGTCCGAAAGCATGCTTGCGTCCGGAAGCATGCTTGCGTCCGAAAGCATGCTTGCGTCCGGAAGCATGCTTGCGCCCGAAAGCATGCTTGCGTTCGAAAGCATGCTTGCGTCCGGAAGCATGCTTGCGTTCGGAAGCATGCTTGCGTCCGGAAGCATGCTTGCGTCCGGACCCATGCTTGCGCCCGGAAGCATGCTTGCGTCCGAAAGCATGCTCACTGCCGGAAGGATGCTTGCGTCCGGAAGCATGCTTGCGCCCGGAAGCATGCTTGCGCCCGGAAGCATGCTTGCGTCCGGAAGCATGCTTGCGTCCGGAAGCATGCTTGCGTCCAGAAGCATGCTTGCGTCCGGAAGCATGCTTGCGTCCGGACGCATGCTTGCGTCCGGAAGCATGCTTGCGCCCGAAAGCATGCTTGCGTCCGGAAGCATGCTTGCGTCCGGAAGCATGCTTGCGTCCGAAAGCATGCTTGCGTCCGGAAGCATGCTTGCGCCCGAAAGCATGCTTTCGTCCGGAAGCATGCTTGCGCCCGGACGCATGCTTGCGTCCGGAAGCATGCTTGCGTCCGGAAGCATGCTTGCGTCCGAAAGCATGCTTGCGTCCGGAAGCATGCTTGCGCCCGAAAGCATGCTTGCGTCCGGAAGCATGCTTGCGCCCGGACGCATGCTTGCGTCCGAAAGCATGCTTGCGTCCGAAAGCATGCTTGCGTCCGGAAGCATGCTTGCGTCCGAAAGCATGCTTGCGTCCGGAAGCATGCTTGCGTCCGAAAGCATGCTTGCGTCCGAAAGCATTCTTGCGTCCGGAAGCATGCTTGCGCCCGAAAGCATGCTTGCGTTCGAAAGCATGCTTGCGCCCGAAAGCATGCTTGCGTTCGGAAGCATGCTTGCGTCCGGAAGCATGCTTGCGTCCGGACCCATGCTTGCGCCCGGAAGCATGCTTGCGTCCGAAAGCATGCTCACTGCCGGAAGGATGCTTGCGTCCGGAAGCATGCTTGCGCCCGGAAGCATGCTTGCGCCCGGAAGCATGCTTGCGTCCGGAAGCATGCTTGCGTCCGGAAGCATGCTTGCGTCCAGAAGCATGCTTGCGTCCGGAAGCATGCTTGCGTCCGGACGCATGCTTGCGTCCGGAAGCATGCTTGCGCCCGAAAGCATGCTTGCGTCCGGAAGCATGCTTGCGTCCGGAAGCATGCTTGCGTCCGAAAGCATGCTTGCGTCCGGAAGCATGCTTGCGCCCGAAAGCATGCTTTCGTCCGGAAGCATGCTTGCGCCCGGACGCATGCTTGCGTCCGGAAGCATGCTTGCGTCCGGAAGCATGCTTGCGTCCGAAAGCATGCTTGCGTCCGGAAGCATGCTTGCGCCCGAAAGCATGCTTGCGTCCGGAAGCATGCTTGCGCCCGGACGCATGCTTGCGTCCGAAAGCATGCTTGCGTCCGAAAGCATGCTTGCGTCCGGAAGCATGCTTGCGTCCGAAAGCATGCTTGCGTCCGGAAGCATGCTTGCGTCCGAAAGCATGCTTGCGTCCGAAAGCATGCTTGCGTCCGGAAGCATGCTTGCGTCCGAAAGCATGCTTGCGTCCGGAAGCATGCTTGCGCCCGAAAGCATGCTTGCGTTCGGAAGCATGCTTGCGCCCGGACGCATGCTTGCGTCCGGAAGCATGCTTGCGCCCGGAAGCATGCTTGCGCCCGGAAGCATGCTTGCGCCCGGAAGCATGCTTGCGTCCGGAAGCATGCTTGCGTCCGGAAGCATGCTTGCGTCCGGACGCATGCTTGCGTCCGGAAGCATGCTTGCGCCCGAAAGCATGCTTGCGTCCGGAAGCATGCTTGCGTCCGGAAGCATGCTTGCGTCCGAAAGCATGCTTGCGTCCGGAAGCATGCTTGCGCCCGAAAGCATGCTTGCGTCCGGAAGCATGCTTGCGCCCGGACGCATGCTTGCGTCCGGAAGCATGCTTGCGTCCGGAAGCATGCTTGCGTCCGAAAGCATGCTTGCGTCCGTAAGCATGCTTGCGCCCGAAAGCATGCTTGCGTCCGGAAGCATGCTTGCGCCCGGACGCATGCTTGCGTCCGGAAGCATGCTTGCGCCCGGAAGCATGCTTGCGCCCGGAAGCATGCTTGCGCCCGGAAGCATGCTTGCGTTCGGAAGCATGCTTGCGTCAGGAAGCAAGCTTGCGTCCGTAAGCATGCTTGCGTCCGGACGCATGCTTGCGTCCGGAAGCATGCTTGCGCCCGAAAGCATGCTTGCGTCCGGAAGCATGCTTGCGTCCGGAAGCATGCTTGCGTCCGAAAGCATGCTTGCGTCCGGAAGCATGCTTGCGCCCGGACGCATGCTTGCGTCCGGAAGCATGCTTGCGTCCGGAAGCATGCTTGCGTCCGAAAGCATGCTTGCGTTCGGAAGCATGCTTGCGCCCGAAAGCATGCTTGCGTCCGGAAGCATGCTTGCGCCCGGACGCATGCTTGCGTCCGGAAGCATGCTTGCGCCCGAAAGCATGCTTGCGTCCGGAAGCATGCTTGCGCCCGGACGCATGCTTGCGTCCGGAAGCATGCTTGCGCCCGAAAGCATGCTTGCGTCCGGAAGCATGCTTGCGTCCGGAAGCATGCTTGCGTCCGAAAGCATGCTTGCGTCCGTAAGCATGCTTGCGCCCGAAAGCATGCTTGCGTCCGGAAGCATGCTTGCGCCCGGACGCATGCTTGCGTCCGGAAGCATGCTTGCGTCCGGACGCATGCTTGCGCCCGAACGCATGCTTGCGTCCGGAAGCATGCTTGCGCCCGAAAGCATGCTTGCGTCCGGAAGCATTCTTGCGCCACGACGCATGCTTGCGTCCGGAAGCATGCTTGCGTCCGGACACATGCTTGCGCCCGAACGCATGCTTGCGTCCGAAAGCATGCTTGCGCCCGAAAGCATGCTTGCGCCCGCAAGCATGCTTGCGTCCGGACACATGCTTGCGCCCGAACGCATGCTTGCGTCCGAAAGCATGCTTGCGCCCGAAAGCATGCTTGCGCCCGAAAGCATGCTTGCGCCCGGAAGCATGCTTGCGCCCGGACGCATGCTTGCGTCCGGAAGCATGCCTGCATCCGGAAGCATGCTTGCGTCAGAAAGCATGCTTGTGCCCGAAAGCATGCTTGCGTCCGGAAGCATGCTTGCGCCCGAAAGCATGCTTGCGTCCGGAAGCATGCTTGCGCCCGGCCGGACGCATGCTTGCGTCCGAGAGCATGCTTGCGTCCGGAAGCATGCTTGCGTCCGAAAGCATGCTTGCGTCTGAAAGCATGCTTGCGTCCGGAAGCATGCTTGCGCCCGAAAGCATGCTTGCATCCGGAAGCATGCTTGCGCCCGGACGCATGCTTGCGTCCGGAAGCATGCTTGCATCCGGACGCATGCTTGCGCCCGAACGCATGCTTGCGTCCGGAAGCATGCTTGCGCCCGAAAGCATGCTTGCGTCCGGAAACATTTTTGCGCCACGACGCATGCTTGCGTCCGGAAGCATGCTTGCGTCCGGACACATGCTTGCGCCAGAACGCATGCTTGCGTCCGAAAGCATGCTTGCGCCCGAAAGCATGCTTGCGCCCGCAAGCATGATTGCGTCCGGACACATGCTTGCGCCCGAACGCATGCTTGCGTCCGAAAGCATGCTTGCGCCCGAAAGCATGCTTGCGCCCGAAAGCATGCTTGCGCCCGAAAGCATGCTTGCGCCCGGAAGCATGCTTGCGCCCAGACGCATGCTTGCGTCCGGAAGCATGCCTGCGTCCGGAAGCATGCTTGCGTCAGAAAGCATGCTTGTGCCCGAAAGCATGCTTGCGTCCGGAAGCATGCTTGCGCCCGAAAGCATGCTTGCGTCCGGAAGCATGCTTGCGTCCGGACGCATGCTTGCGTCCGAGAGCATGCTTGCGTCCGGAAGCATGCTTGCGTCCAAAAGCATGCTTGCGTCCGGAAGCATGCTTGCGTCCGGAAGCATGCTTGCGTCCGGAAGCATGCTTGCGTCCGGAAGCATGCTTGCGTCCGGACCCATGCTTGCGCCCGGAAGCATGCTTGCGTCCGAAAGCATGCTCACTGCCGGAAGCATGCTTGCGTCCGGACGCATGCTTGCGTCCGGAAGCATGCTTGCGCCCGGAAGCATGCTTGCGCCCGGAAGCATGCTTGCGCCCGGAAGCATGCTTGCGTTCGGAAGCATGCTTGCGTCCGGAAGCATGCTTGCGTCCAGAAGCATGCTTGCGTCCGGAAGCATGCTTGCGTCTGGACGCATGCTTGCGTCCGGAAGCATGCTTGCGCCCGAAAGCATGCTTGCGTCCGGAAGCATGCTTGCGTCCGGAAGCATGCTTGCGTCCGAAAGCATCCTTGCGTCCGGAAGCATGCTTGCGCCTGAAAGCATGCTTGCGTCCGGAAGCATGCTTGCGCCCGGACGCATGCTTGCGTCCGGAAGCATGCTTGCGTCCGGAAGCATGCTTGCGTTCGAAAGCATGCTTGCGTCCGGAAGCATGCTTGCGCCCGAAAGCATGCTTGCGTCCGGAAGCATGCTTGCGCCCGGACGCATGCTTGCGTCCGGAAGCATGCTTGCGCCCGAAAGCATGCTTGCGTCCGGAAGCATGCTTGCGTCCGGAAGCATGCTTGCGTCCGAAAGCATGCTTGCGTCCGGAAGCATGCTTGCGCCCGAAAGCATGCTTGCGTCCGGAAGCATGCTTGCGCCCGGACGCATGCTTGCATCCGGAAGCATGCTTGCGCCCGGAAGCATGCTTGCGCCCGGAAGCATGCTTGCGCCCGGAAGCATGCTTGCGTCCGGAAGCATGCTTGCGTCCGGAAGCATGCTTGCGTCCAGAAGCATGCTTGCGTCCGGAAGCATGCTTGCGTCAGAAAGCATGCTTGTGCCCGAAAGCATGCTTGCGTCCGGAAGCATGCTTGCGCCCGAAAGCATGCTTGCGTCCGGAAGCATGCTTGCGCCCGGACGCATGCTTGCGTCCGGAAGCATGCTTGCGTCCGGAAGCATGCTTGCGTCCGGAAGCATGCTTGCGTCCGAAAGCATACTTGCGTCCGAAAGCATGCTTGCGCCCAGACGCATGCTTGCGTCCGGAAGCATGCTTGCGTCCGAAAGCATGCTTGCGTCCGGAAGCATGCTTGCGTCCGGAAGCATGCTTGCGCCCGGCCGGACGCATGCTTGCGTCCGAGAGCATGCTTGCGTCCGGAAGAATGCTTGCGTCCAGAAGCATGCTTGCGCCCGAAAGCATGCTTGCGTCCGGAAGCATGCTTGCGTCCGGAAGCATGCTTACGTCCAGAAGCATGCTTGCGCCCGGAAGCATGCTTGCGTCAGAAAGCATGCTTGTGCCCGAAAGCATGCTTGCGTCCGGAAGCATGCTTGCGCCCGAAAGCATGCTTGCGTCCGGAAGCATGCTTGCGCCCGGACGCATGCTTGCGTCCGGAAGCATGCTTGCGTCCGGAAGCATGCTTGCGTCCGGACGCATGCTTGCGCCCGAACGCATGCTTGCGTCCAGAAGCATGCTTGCGCCCGAAAGCATGCTTGCGTCCGGAAGCATGCTTGCGTCCGGAAGCATGCTTGCGTCCGAAAGCATACTTGCGTCCGAAAGCATGCTTGCGCCCAGACGCATGCTTGCGTCCGGAAGCATGCTTGCGTCCGAAAGCATGCTTGCGTCCGGAAGCATGCTTGCGTCCGGAAGCATGCTTGCGCCCGGCCGGACGCATGCTTGCGTCCGAGAGCATGCTTGCGTCCGGAAGCATGCTTGCGTCCGAAAGCATGCTTGCGTCTGAAAGCATGCTTGCGTCCGGAAGCATGCTTGCGCCCAAAAGCATGCTTGCATCCGGAAGCATGCTTGCGCCCGGACGCATGCTTGCGTCCGGAAGCATGCTTGCATCCGGACGCATGCTTGCGCCCGAACGCATGCTTGCGTCCGGAAGCATGCTTGCGCCCGAAAGCATGCTTGCGTCCGGAAACATTCTTGCGCCACGACGCATGCTTGCGTCCGGAAGCATGCTTGCGTCCGGACACATGCTTGCGCCCGAACGCATGCTTGCGTCCGAAAGCATGCTTGCGCCCGAAAGCATGCTTGCGCCCGCAAGCATGCTTGCGTCCGGACACATGCTTGCGCCCGAACGCATGCTTGCGTCCGAAAGCATGCTTGCGCCCGAAAGCATGCTTGCGCCCGCAAGCATGCTTGCGCCCGAAAGCATGCTTGCGCCCGGAAGCATGCTTGCGCCCGGACGCATGCTTGCGTCCGGAAGCATGCCTGCGTCCGGAAGCATGCTTGCGTCAGAAAGCATGCTTGTGCCCGAAAGCATGCTTGCGTCCGGAAGCATGCTTGCGCCCGAAAGCATGCTTGCGTCCGGAAGCATGCTTGCGTCCGGACGCATGCTTGCGTCCGAGAGCATGCTTGCGTCCGGAAGCATGCTTGCGTCCAAAAGCATGCTTGCGTCCGGAAGCATGCTTGCGTCCGGAAGCATGCTTGCGTCCGGAAGCATGCTTGCGTCCGGAAGCATGCTTGCGTCCGGACCCATGCTTGCGCCCGGAAGCATGCTTGCGTCCGAAAGCATGCTCACTGCCGGAAGCATGCTTGCGTCCGAACGCATGCTTGCGTCCGGAAGCATGTTTGCGCCCGGAAGCATGCTTGCGCCCGGAAGCATGCTTGCGCCCGGAAGCATGCTTGCGTTCGGAAGCATGCTTGCGTCCGGAAGCATGCTTGCGTCCAGAAGCATGCTTGCGTCCGGAAGCATGCTTGCGTCTGGACGCATGCTTGCGTCCGGAAGCATGCTTGCGCCCGAAAGCATGCTTGCGTCCGGAAGCATGCTTGCGTCCGGAAGCATGCTTGCGTCCGAAAGCATCCTTGCGTCCGGAAGCATGCTTGCGCCTGAAAGCATGCTTGCGTCCGGAAGCATGCTTGCGCCCGGACGCATGCTTGCGTCCGGAAGCATGCTTGCGTCCGGAAGCATGCTTGCGTCCGAAAGCATGCTTGCGTCCGGAAGCATGCTTGCGCCCGAAAGCATGCTTGCGTCCGGAAGCATGCTTGCGCCCGGACGCATGCTTGCGTCCGGAAGCATGCTTGCGCCCGAAAGCATGCTTGCGTCCGGAAGCATGCTTGCGTCCGGAAGCATGCTTGCGTCCGAAAGCATGCTTGCGTCCGGAAGCATGCTTGCACCCGAAAGCATGCTTGCGTCCGGAAGCATGCTTGCGCCCGGACGCATGCTTGCATCCGGAAGCATGCTTGCGCCCGGAAGCATGCTTGCGCCCGGAAGCATGCTTGCGCCCGGAAGCATGCTTGCGTCCGGAAGCATGCTTGCGTCCGGAAGCATGCTTGCGTCCAGAAGCATGCTTGCGTCCGGAAGCATGCTTGCGTCCGGACGCATGCTTGCGTCCGGAAGCATGCTTGCGCCCGAAAGCATGCTTGCGTCCGGAAGCATGCTTGCGTCCGGAAGCATGCTTACGTCCAGAAGCATGCTTGCGCCCGGAAGCATGCTTGCGTCAGAAAGCATGCTTGTGCCCGAAAGCATGCTTGCGTCCGGAAGCATGCTTGCGCCCGAAAGCATGCTTGCGTCCGGAAGCATGCTTGCGCCCGGACGCATGCTTGCGTCCGGAAGCATGCTTGCGTCCGGAAGCATGCTTGCGTCCGGACGCATGCTTGCGCCCGAACGCATGCTTGCGTCCAGAAGCATGCTTGCGCCCGAAAGCATGCTTGCGTCCGGAAGCATGCTTGCGTCCGGAAGCATGCTTGCGTCCGAAAGCATACTTGCGTCCGAAAGCATGCTTGCGCCCAGACGCATGCTTGCGTCCGGAAGCATGCTTGCGTCCGAAAGCATGCTTGCGTCCGGAAGCATGCTTGCGTCCGGAAGCATGCTTGCGTCCGGAAGCATGCTTGCGTCCAGAAGCATGCTTGCGCCCGGAAGCATGCTTGCGTCAGAAAGCATGCTTGTGCCCGAAAGCATGCTTGCGTCCGGAAGCATGCTTGCGCCCGAAAGCATGCTTGCGTCCGAAAGCATGCTTGCGTCCGAAAGCATGCTTGCGTCCGGAAGCATGCTTGCGTCTGGAAGCATGC